TTAGTTCTCCCCTTTTGTGCTGGCAGGAAACCCTTGACTTTTTACACCCTAGGAGGCTGTATGCTCACAAAATAACTCCTGCCCTGGCTTTTTATTCCTCCCCATATTAGGTGTGCTATTCAGTTGTCATCATTATAAAGGTTTATAAAAGGAGCACAGATTATTTAATGATTATAATATTTTATGTTTCCCTATTCCCTCCCTACTGTACATGGACATGTACATTAGAAAAACAATAATGGTCTGAATTGCACATGTTAAATGATTCTACTCCAATCCTGACTTCCAGTCTCCTTTCACAACAGTCTTGTGATGAAATACTTTAAACCATTGCTTTCTTATCAAAATGTCAAAATATGTCAGTTTTTCTAATCCACAAACATTACAGAGCTACATGGAGCATTGACTTACAGTGGAGTGACCTCTAGCCACATGTAGCACCTGAACACACAGAACAGGCTTAGTCTCAATTATAGTCAGTCTAAGTGCAAAGAAAATACTTCATATTCAAGACCTAGATGGGAAAAAGTAACATATTTTTCATACATTTGCTGGCTACATGCTGACAATATTTTTATATAGTAGACTGTCTTAATTTGTGCTTTTATTGCTATGAAGAGACACCATGACCCCAGTAACTCTTATAAAGAGAACATTTAATTGATGGGGCTCACTTACAGTTCAGAGGTACAGTCTATCATGGCAGGGAGTATGGCAGCGTGCAGGCAGAGGTGGTGCTGGAGCTGAGACTACTACATCTTGCAGGCAACAGGAAATCAACTGACTCACTGGGAGATCTCCTGAGTATATGAAACCTCAAAGCCTGCCCCCAACTACAGTGACACCCTTCCTCCAGCAAAACCATACCTACTCCAACAAAGCCACATCTCCTAATAGTGCCATTCTCTATGAGATTATGTGATTATGGGGGCCAATTACATTCAAACAACCAGGTAGGCTATATAAGCTATATTAGTAAAGTTATTTTGCCTGATGCATGATTACTTTTTATTGTAGTTATTTTGTTTGTTTTTGAGAACTGGTTTAAGAAACAAACAACCCCCCCCCCAAAAAAAAAACAGTTTTCCTGGAACTGTTTCTGTAGACCAGTAGACCAGGCTGGCCTTAGCGTCACAGAGATCCTCCTACTTCTGCCTTCTGTGTGCTGGGAATAAAGAATAAAGGCATGTGCTACCATAGGTTTCATACTTGCTTTAGAATGTGTCAGGTAGAAATTAAAATTAGACACATGGTTTACATATTAATATAAGACAACGTTGCTCTAAATATTTCTGTCTCTGATGCTGGTGAGAAATAAATTCAGGCATTTTGCTTAGAATGACATGAGACACAGGAACTTGTTTTTTTTTTTTTTACTTTTATAAAAACTTCAAAACTTCAAATAAGATAAAAAGCAGATTTGGCCTTGGACACAAACTACCCAATGTGTTTATTATATTAAAAACTCAGTCAAAACACGTAACAAAGGAAAAAAAGCAAGCAAGCAAGCCAAGGAAAATCCAGTCAGTGAAATGGTGTCCACCCTGGATATAGAGAAGGATTATGATTTGTGAGGGATTTTCCTGATGATGGGGCCACATTACAGCAAACTTTGTGGGCAGTGTAGGATGCATAGAAGAATACTATGTAAAGTGAATTCTCTCTCTCTCTCTCTCTCTCTCTCTCTCTCTCTCTCTCTCTCTCTCTCACACACACACACACACACACACACACACACACAAACACACACACACACACCTTTCTGCACTGGTATATATAGCTTGGTATTAACACACATACACACACACACATCCTGCATTGGTATATATAGCATGATATATAAAATGTGGTGATGGGGTAGCAACCAACATTGTGGCCTATGGTAGGCAATCATTCTGTTACTGAGCTACATTGGTATCCAGTGTTCCACTTGGGTCCATCTAAGTTAGTATCTATTTCTAACCCTAGAAATAGATGTAACAAATTATGAAGGACTCCTGAAGCATTGGATGCTCTCACTGAAGAGATAAGCCTGTGGTCTTTGTTATGTCCACAGTGTCTAAAGGGAACCATATTCAGAGATGAGGTGACTTGCTGAAATTACCAAGCCAGTTAGATTTAAACTGAGTTGTATCTAAACCCCTTAGTCACCTGTTCATGTTCTTTCTCTTCATCAAGGTAGATAGTTTCTGCATTTAACTTGTTTTCTGCCTTATGATAAACATAGTCACTTTGCTATTTTTAATTACAAAGTAATTAAATGGTATGCCGTGGAACCTATATGGCTTATTTGCTGTGTTTTTGAAGACACACTGATTTGATTGTGCTGTTTTAAAAGGCACTGGAGGTGGAATCCAGCATCACTTCCCTGCCAGAGAAATTTGATGCCCTGCATTTGTACAGCAGCAGCAGCAGATCTTCAAGGATCCACATTTTTTTTCTTTTCTTTTCATCAGCTAGGTCTGGGGAACATTAGTAGTGTCTGTGGTTTAGAGGAAAATGGTTCTGATTATGGTCTTTGTTCATTGTTTAGTGCATGGAATGGTTCGCTACAACCCAGACTTTGCTTTCTCTTCTTTGTTGAGTCTGAGTTTATTTTGGCAAGAAATTTCTTCCTTGTCTTGATTTTGATTGTGTGTGAAGGACCACATCTTATTTTTTTCTGCCGTTTCTGTCTTATCCTGGTGACCATCATATGGGTGATGCATTGTCTTCCATTTACAAGCATTGCATATTTCAAGTAGAAAGTGGCTACCTCTCATGCCCTAGGCACCATTCTGAAGATGGAATAGTGTGTCCGGCTGCATGGCACACATGCAGCCTGGTAGGAAATCAAGTGTTTGTCCATGCACAAGCACAGTGTTGGGTAGGAACACCTTAGTAGTGAACATGAAGTTGTTCAGATAATGGAAGGATTTCCAGAGTAAGTAGTACTTATATTGGGAGGGAAAATTACCTGGGGAGGGAAGTGGGTAGAAGAAGAAAGAAATTTGCAGCAGGAAGCACTTTGAGTAGAGACATTCTGACTTGCCTTTTGTTCAGTTAGGAGTGTGGTTGGAGAGTATAGATAGAGAGTGGGAGTATGTAACAGTATGAAGAAGGAAGAGATTAAGGAGAAACACTCAATCAATGTTGAAGAGATTAATTTTCAAAAGCAATATATCACACGATACCTCTCACAACGTTATTCATTATAAATTACTAAAGTGATTTCATTTACAGTATAAAATTCAGACCATTTCACAGGTATATTTTATGTAACACAAATGAAAATAAGTTTTAAGCTGATAACATCGGCAATCCCATGTTTCTGTGTCCATATTTATATTTGTTGTATACCCACTTCATTAGAATGCTAGGGTCTGCACTGTCCTCATCATTAGAGACATTCAATTCATGATAAATAGGCTTCATTAGTAGCGGTTTGAAGCATTATTACTTATTTATCTATGAAGGTTATAAACCTTTCATTAATTCATTTTCTGGAAATGGTTATTTAAAAGTCCAAATATTTTCTTATTCTTCAAATGAGGTAGAAAATGATGCACGTTTTTTCCCAGATTGTTTCAATGCTTAATTTAAGCATTTAAGTGAAAAAAGACTTAAATCAACTTTACTTCTCAATTTGATCCATCAATGTAAGTTGGGGATGAGATAATGTGTTTGAGTGAGGGGATTCAGTGAATATGCCCATTGCAAGCCTTGTTTAATGTCTTAATCATCTGGCAAGTGTATTGTGTCCCTTCATTGGTCCATTAAGCTCTGTCTGCCTCAGGTAATCAAACTTCAAAATTGATGTAGCATTTTCAGTGGATGTGGCTTATAAGAATCAATGAATTAAATATAGCTTGTAATGCTCAAATAATAGGATATTAATCATTTATGAAAATTTAAGGTTACAACTGAATCTCAAATCCATTACTATTTTGGTGAATTTGAATGGGGAGAATCATAGGCAGGCATTTTAGGGGCTTTAAAATATTGAGGTCTGTACGTAATTTTTATCTTAATGCCTTTGAAGCAAATTGCTTTGTGTCTCAACATTCCATATTCACTTTTGTACTTTGTAAGTCCACGACTCATGTTTCTGGTCACTAAACATGTAACAGGCTGGACAATCTATGCTGTTAGATTATCTAGCAATAGGAAAGGTTTTTTCCTCCTTTGAATTTCTGTCCCCTTTTCCCATCACAAACAACTGCTGGTTTGTATTTGTGAGCAGACTACTAGAGTGAGGAAGATAACAAAGTATAAGCCATTCTCTTGCCCTGAGAAGCTGCATGGGAAATAAATTAACAGAAGGATGGATCAAGAGATTAAGATCAGGCAAAGGAACACATCCTGTCCCTCAGTCTCTCTCTTCCATAAGCAGGGAGTAGCCATGCGCCAACTTTTGCAAATGTGGTAGAAAAGAGTAGCTTTGTTACACACAGTCCTTTATTGCCTTTATGAAATGGAATCAAACTTAAGACCTTTAAACCCTAACTGTGTGTAGCACATCAGTTAAAGGGTCAGTCACGCCATTTGTTCTCAGTAGACGGGTAGAGGGGAGTTTGCCCTTCATTTAAAAATATATATATCATTTAAAATGCCACTAGCTGTGATTCAACTCTGCCTCACTCACAGCCTTTTTGCAAACACAGCCCACATGCCAATATTGATAATATCGTAGCCTTCTAGACAGTCAAACTACTTTTGTCAAGGTGAACTCGGAGGGGGAAGATTGGGAAGAATGGATGGAGAGGGAGGAAAAGGGAGAGAAAATAAATGAGACTCTGATGAAAAGATGAGTTGCAGTCCACTTTCGCTCGATTTTTGATGTTTCTTTTTGATGTCTCCTTTGGTTTCATCACCCTCGGGCCTCTCCTTTTGGTTCTGCCCTCACCCAGGCTCCCTTGCTCGGGAGCCTCTCCGCCAGCCCCAGAGCCTATCCCTTTAAATGACAGCTGTGGCTCCAGTCCCGGTTCGGGGCTTGACGTCAGTGCCACCTCCTGGGCTGCGAGTAGTTAGCGCCGGCGCCGGCGCTCCTGGCTGGGGCGCGCTAGCTCGCCAGCAGCCGGGGTTGAGTTTTCTTTGCTCGAGCCCCGCCTCCTGCCCGCCCCCTCGGAGAGCCGCGCGCAGCCCCCGAACCTCTCCAAGTCTCTAGCACACTTGCAGCCGGTCGCCCCAAAGGAGCAGCAGTGCCCGCGGTGCTCCATTCCAGAGCTTCTCTGCCCGATGGAGCTCGGGCGCTGCCGACGCCGCTGCTGCGCGGAACCCTGAGCCTGTCCGGGTGTCCGGAGGACCGTGCCGGCCAGTCCGAGAGTGCAAGAGTGCCCGGGCGCACACCTAGGACAAGGGGCCTCGAGGTTCTGGGAAGCACGCCGTGCCGCTCGCCTGGGTTACCTGGCCGGCGGCAGGGACCATGGCTCTGAAGGACACGGGCAGCGGCGGCAGCACCATCCTCCCCATCAGCGAGATGGTGTCCGCGTCCAGTTCTCCTGGCGCTCCTCTGGCCGGCGCCCCGGGGCCCTGCGCTCCGTCGCCCTTCCCCGAGGTAGTGGAGCTGAATGTTGGCGGCCAGGTCTATGTGACCAAGCACTCGACGCTGCTCAGCGTCCCGGACAGCACTCTGGCCAGCATGTTCTCGCCCTCTAGCCCCCGGGGCGGCGCTCGGCGCCGGGGCGAGTTGCCCAGGGACAGCCGCGCGCGCTTCTTCATCGACCGCGACGGCTTCCTCTTTCGGTACGTTCTGGATTACCTGCGCGACAAGCAGCTGGCGCTGCCCGAGCACTTCCCCGAGAAGGAGCGGCTCCTGCGCGAGGCAGAGTTCTTCCAGCTCACCGACCTGGTCAAGCTGCTGTCGCCCAAGGTCACCAAGCAGAACTCGCTCAACGACGAGGGCTGCCAGAGCGACCTGGAGGACAACGTTTCCCAGGGCAGCAGCGACGCACTGCTGCTGCGTGGGGCGGCGGCCGGCGGCGCGCCCTCGGGCTCTGGAGCGCACGGTGTCAGTGGCGTTGTCGCGGGCAGCAGCGCTCCGGACAAGCGCTCTGGCTTCCTCACCCTGGGCTACCGTGGCTCCTACACCACAGTGCGCGACAACCAGGCAGATGCCAAGTTCAGGCGTGTGGCGCGCATCATGGTGTGCGGGCGCATAGCCTTGGCCAAAGAGGTCTTTGGGGACACTCTTAATGAGAGTCGCGACCCTGACCGGCAGCCCGAGAAGTACACGTCCCGCTTCTACCTCAAGTTCACCTACTTGGAGCAGGCGTTCGATCGACTGTCTGAGGCCGGCTTCCACATGGTGGCGTGCAACTCCTCTGGCACCGCCGCCTTTGTCAACCAGTACCGAGACGACAAGATCTGGAGCAGTTATACCGAGTACATCTTCTTCCGTAAGTTAGCAACCTACCTACCTATGCATCTCACACCCTTTCTCCACCATCGCCGACTTGATGCGGGAGGAGCCCCGCTGTGTCCAGGAAGGGACGTTCCTTTCAGGAGTGCCCTGGCGGTGAGCCTGCTAATCTGTATCAGCGGGTCTCCCTCCAGCATCCCTTGAACAGTGCAGAGTAAGCCTTGGGTCCTCCCGCATTCCTGGATTCAGGTTCTCTTCCTGAACTTATTGATCCTGCCCTCTTGCCCTGCCTAGCTCCAGGATGCTCTGGTCACCCTCCAATGCACAGGGTTAAGAGGAGAGAGAGCACTGTCTGTGCCTGTAGGTCATCCTCCTCTTATCTGATGAGATGTGAGTTTAGGGCTTCAGTTTATTTGAGCCTGGAGAACTGGCATGGAGACAGCGCAGCGCATGCCATGCCAGGATTATCTCCTGTGGTGTGTTCCCGCGCAAGAGCTCCAGTTGCATGTGGTTTTGGAAGGGGGCAACTCAAGAGATGGTGACTGTACGTCTAGATCGCCTCCTCTTAGGAGCTAGCACATGAGGGCTGCTAATGTAACATAGTCTCCATTAGCTAGTAACAAGATAGGTTTTCCTTTGTCGCTTACCTCCAATGCAAGTGTCCGATGTTTTGGACAGGGGTCAGAGGGGAGAGATGAGTTATGGCTTCTGAATGCATGTGCGTGTGCTTGTGCATGCGCGCTTGCATGCATGTGTGTGCGTGCGTGCGTGCGTGCGTGTGTGTGTGTGTGTGTGTGTGTGTGTGTGTGTGTGTAAAGGGGCAGAGTGTTGAATCAACTTTGCAAGGTAATAGTTTCTAAAAGAGGGAGAGTCTATGAAAATTCTTTGGCGAGATGCTTTTCATGCGTTTTCCAGAGGGGGCCCTGTTGAGTTCAAAACCCCAATGGAACACCACAGTCTTAACATGCAGGTGGTTGTGGGTTTGTCTTCAGTGGGGCTAAGATTCCAAGGTGGACAAAGTAAAACTCAAGTAGGGACGGCCACAGGAAATTATTTGGCCAGCGTTTTTGTTTGGCAAGATACGAGAAGCTTTAAAACCGTGTGTGTGTGTGTGTGTGTGTGTGTGTGTGTGTGTGTTTTCAGTGGGCTGGAGACAGCACTAAAAGCCTATAACGGAAGTAGCCTAGCTTGCGTTGTGTTTGCTTTGCTAAGTAGCTCTCAATTGCAAAGCAAAAATGAATAATTTTCTACACTTGACTAGAGGGTGGAAGGAGCCTCTCCTTACACAGGTGCAGGATTGATTGGAAAGTGGTTCAGTGGTTCAGTGAGGGTATTATTTATTTATTTATTCATTTTTTGGTAACCTTGAAAGTAGAGTGACAACACATTACTTCTGAAAGTTAGATGACCTTTTGAGACAGTGTTGGAGGTCCTGAGGAAAGCCCTTCTGCAGAACAGCAAATAAATATCCAGTGAAGTGATAAATAAAATCCCCATCCATTGCTTATGTATTTATCATTTATGAAGGTCTTCCTACACAGACCACACAGGCCTTGAGTTCTCAGCCCTTCTCCCTCTTCCTTCTGAATGCTGTCCTCAAAAGGCTGCTGCCCCAGGCCTGGCTCAGTGTCTTTATTACAACAAAAACTCTTTGTTACACAGTAAAAAATACTGGTATTTGGGCAAGCACAAAAGGGAAATTAATACTTCCTTGTTTGTGTAAAACTGGCATCTCTTCAATCTACATTAAGCAATTAAAATATTTAAAGGTAAATAAAGCACTCCCTGTCACTGAGACACTTAGCAGAATTTTGAATGTATGAAGCCTCTCAGTCATTTTGTCCAGGATATCCTTCCAACCATTTCGGGCAATGATGGGAACTGAACTTTTAAATTTTACAAGGTTAGTGTTTTCTCTTACAGAAGATATAAACATGAGGGCACTTCATGATTTTGTTTTCAACTACAGTAGTAAGGGACAAAGCAGCAAGCTCCGGATAGAATGATGGAGGTGGTTTTCAGGACAGGGTCTTGCACAGACAGGTTCAGGCTGGCCTCCTGACTCTCAAGGCTGGGATTCTAGACACTTCTCAGCATGCCTGCCTGAGTGTGAGTGATGTCTTTGTGGAGTTAAGTCTCTTAAATCTCAGCAATGTCTCACAACTTTGGTCTCCCTTTTTTCCCTCCTTGTACTGTCCACTGAAAAAGGAAAATACAGTTTGTAAACTGGGGGTAAAACAATGCCATACAATAGCTACTTGAAGTTGGAAACTGTTCATTTAATTAAGAAGGTAACTTGAAAATTAAATGAAATTTAGTGTATGTTGCACATTTGAAACTAGAGGTAACATTAAATAAAAATCTAATTTTCATGTTGTGAAAATTGCCACTTCTTGAGTGTTACTTTCCTAGTGAGTTCTGAGATTTACTCATAACAGCCCCAGAAATTGATCATCTTCATGGATTATCCCAATTTAGTGACAAAAATTCATAACTCAAGAGTAAAGTTTTTATTCTCGAAGTTGAAATCCAGTCACTGATCCACCAAATATATTTGTCATTTTTCTGGATATAAAATTTATCTTAAATATTAGTAAGCACTTATTAATCTGTGTTTTGAACAGCTACATTCTATCTGCAAAAAATATTTTGAATTTGATTTCTCTCCATTGTTTGTAAGTAAAGGTATATTCTAATTTATTTTTTTTTGTTGTTGTTCTATTTCTGTTCTGTTCAGTCTGGTAATGCCAGAATGTTACTGCTTTTCTCGAAAGGTCTCTATTGGAAATATTTATTAATGATAGTCGTATGATCCAAATTATTGGATGACCTGATTGTCTACTCATGTTTTGATGCAGAAAATAGCCTCTTCACTTACGTATATTTACTACCTCTTCGACACGATTCTTTCCTCAAAGTGTATAGCATACTTTTACTTAGTGTCATGTGTCAGATATTTTAACAAATCTTTTGAATTTAGGTTGCTAATGAACTTCGTGGTTTGATACTGCCCTAAAAGTGACAAAGTAGCAGTTAAAACAGGGGCATTGAATTTAGTGCTCACTATCAATCCAAAATTTCCAAAGAAGGAAAGAGGATGGCAGACACCACCATTTTACTAAATGTGGGAGCGGGGCAAATTATTTACTTGTTTTTGTATTAGTGTCCCCCTACCTGTATAATGGAGGCTGTCATACTTCCAGTTTTATGGAATTTGAGAGTCCATGTGAAGTACTTCTAACATCAGAATTTGACTCAAAAATGCCGGTTGGTGCTATTCTAATAGTTTATTTCTTTGTCAACAGTAATTTTTTGTTTATTATAGGAATTATAGTGAATTGAGTGGTTAATTAGAAAATTTACTTCAAGAACAGCACATCAAATTTTCATAAGTTTGTAGTGAGTATTTAAATACTGCTTTCCTCAGACCAAGTCACCTAGATGTTCCCATCATATTTTAGTTTGTCTGGGTCAAAACCATCACCACTGACTTCTGATTCAGGATTAAAAAGTGTTTTAGTGATTCTTGCTAGGACTTGAAACTTCAGCAATGTTTTTCTTACATATACCAACCTTGTACTTACGATAAGTGGGTTCAGATCCACAAGATAATAGGCAGGCTATTAGACATTAAATACCAGCCTCATTGCGTTACAAGGACAGTTTTTCACCTATTCTCATTCTTAATTCATTGTTTACAAAGACTTTTAAACATAATAATTCTTACACCTTTGTGATAAATCTTCTTATTACTCCTCAAATACCGAAGACAGCTTGACCTTTCTTGGGAAAAACAGAATGATTTATTGGGTTTTCTGTATTTGGGGGAGGGGCAGGCGCTTGGTAAGTGGAATAGTAGCTTTTTTTTATATTTTATTTTATTTTACAGTATTATTCAGTTCTACATAATAGCCACAGATTCCCTTGTTCTCTCCCTTCCTGTCCCCCTCCCCTTTCCCCCAGCCCACCCCCCATTCCCACCTCCTCCAGATCAAGGTCTCCCCAGAGGACTGGGATCAACCTGATAGACTCAGTCCAGGCAGGTCCAGTCCCCTCCTC